CCTAAACTCTACCTTTCCCAACACAATTGCACCAGCACCAAAGCCAAACAACATGCCCGCGCCGCATTCTACACCTAAAAAAACACGCGTTCAAGGGATTTGTGATTATTTTGATGCAAAAAGCATTACTTATAGCTACAATAACGTTTTTCGCTTTTTATAAATGCAAAGGGTAAAATAATTGCAGATTGAATGGGCTCCTTTTTTTGTGGTGGTGGGGAAAAAATTTGCGGTCCAGACTTTTTTGATCAGACCGTGCACACCTCTCTCAGGGAACCAGAACGCAACCCTCCCTTCCCTCACCAGCAAACCTACATGGACTACGACATGGACTACAACATGGACTATGACATGGATCAACAATCCACCATCCTAGAGGAAGTGCTTCGCAATATCCTAGCCCGTTACGGTACCGAGGATGTCAAAAATGCACCCACAAGCGAGCTCCTCACCCGCGTCATGGGCTCTCCAGGCACCCGCGACCCCGCGATGCGCTGGGCCTGTCGGGCCGGCTGCATGCCCGTCATCGAGGCCGCCGTGCGCCACGGCTCGTCGGCCAGCGCCTTGGCGGTCGGCTCCGTCGGCTCCGTCGGCAAAAAGCCTGTGGCTCGCGTTGGCGGTCCGGCCGAGGACCCCGCCGACACAGAGCAGCAACCGCCCATGGTTGTCAAAGCCCTGACACTGCAGCTGGCCGCCAAGGGCGGCCAGGTCGAGGCGTTCGAGCGCCTGATCGCCCTCGGTGCCCGCGTCGACGAGCCCGGCACCTCGGTGGCGTCGGTCCGCACTCTCGTCAAGCTCGTCACCCGAGGGCCCGACGCGACCGCGCTGCTCCGCCTTATGCTAACGGGCGCGGGCGCCGAGGCCCAGCTAGCCTCTCAGCTCGACCAGGAACGGCGCGACGAGGCCCTCCTAGAGCTGATGCGGGGCTATGTCAGTCGTGGACCTTTGGCGCAGGAGTATCTCGGCTTTGCACGCGCGCTGCTAAACGCCGGAGCCAGCCCCAACTGCTGCCGTCTCGGCCTGGCGGGCACCTCAGTGTCGACGCTGTCGCTTGCTGTGCGCTCACGGTCGTCGGACGCTGTTCAGCTCCTGGTCGACTTCGGCGCCCACGTCAACGGATGCGCGGACCCGAAACTGGCGAGGAGACCCCACCTTCCGTTGCATGTACCACTATGTGCGGCTGTCCACGCTATGGCTACGACCGCCACGGCTCTCGATGAGGCCGAGCGAAATTCCCTGACGCAGACGGTGCAGCTGTTACTGCACAGCGGCGCCGACATAAACATCTGTGCGCCGTTCAGGGGCAGCGCGCTTCACACGGACCGCCTGACAACCCCGCTCCTGGTGTTTCTAAACGCCGTCGACTCCTGGGAAACGAGTTGCGGCGGCTCAGAGGCCCTGAAGGGCTTACGTTTCCTTCTGGATAGCGGTGCCAGCCCCGTGGCCCCGCCCGCCGAGACGACGCCGGGGCTGCGTGACCGCCTGAGCCCGAGCCGCTGGAACTGGTGCGCTCCAGACGCCGACGTCGCCCGGGCGCTGCTGGACGACTGGGGCGTACGCGCTCTCGCAATTCCGTCGTTTGCTTCAGCACTGCAGCTCTTGGTCGGCCACCGCAGCCGCTGCGGTCAGTTCCGGGGGACGGCCGAAGCGCTAGCCTCATACGACTACACGCCGGCGCCCGCAGCCCAAGAAAAACAAAAGGACGACGACGGGGTGTTGGCAGGCTGGCGAGCAACCCTGGGCTCTGCGATCCACCCGCTCTCAGCGTCCGAGCGCAGCGACTTTCTCTATTTTTACGCGGTCCGCAAAGGTACCTGCCCAGAACACTGGGCTCGCCTGCGGACGCACCTGTCCCAAGACCACTCGCACGGCGATGGCCTCGCGCGCGCCACGCTCGCCGTGCTGCTCGAGGCCGGCGCGGATGTCAACCACCGCGCCTGGCAGCAGGCGGGGGAGGGGAGTGGCGATCAGCAGCTGCAGCAAGATGACGGCCCCACGGCGCTACACAGCATCTGCCTGTGGCTCGCGGGCAGGCACCCCTCAGAGGAGGACTACGGGCGCAACCCCATGTGCAGGGGCTTCAGGCACACGCCAGGGCGCCTCGAGTTTTTGCGGTTCCTGGTGGAGGAATGTGGTGCCGACACGGGATTGTTACACGAGGGCAGGAACCCGGTTGAGATTCTCGAGCAACTCACTAGGCCGGATATGGATGGGCAGGAGGCGGGGACACTACCCTGGCAGAGGGATGGCGGGGTAGTCAGACAGGCCCGCGGCCGTTTTGTGGAGTTTCTCAGGGGCGCAGCAGACCGATAAGGCGCCGATCCGGCCCGCCTATGCCCGATGCGGCTGGCCGGCTAATTCATGGGTGCTCGTGCATGCAGGCCTGGGCCCAACCTGACCCATAAATGTGTCTCGATTCATCACTTTTTCGAGGCCAGCCAAATGTCGATTATGGTCCCCTGTCTAGCCTGCCCAGGCAGCAGCGGGAGGCCTTGCAGTGACGAAATCCCCACCATCCATGGCAGGTGCTTATCCTCCGCATATGGGATGCTTAACTGGTTCCACTGACAACATTTCAAGGCCAAGGAGGTTACACGCTTCCGTACCTGTCACTAGCTGATTCTAGACACAATACCCGTGTCATCTCACCTACCTAACCTAATTCACGCCGCTTACAGGTGACCCAATATGGAAATGGAGAAAAAGAAATTGCGCAGGATCAATAATGCCACCTTGTACAACCCAAAAAACGTGTTCTTCACGGGACGATCCAGGCAGTGCTTGATTACACAGCCCAGGACACCGACATCAACCGATGCAGCGTGGCCGGTCGACTCATGTTTTGCACCACCTCAACTCCTTCTATCTGCCTCGGTGGATCTTGATAGACGCACCCCCCGCCCCGGCGTCGTCCCGCCTCCGCTGGTGACAGTCGACTGTCCTTGGGCTTGGCTCGCGGCCTCTCCACATCTACTCTCTGGGAGGCAGCAATACTTCGTGTTTGCTGACAGGACTAGCGAAACAAGATGTGATGATGGGATCCCTGAGATGTCGGCCGAATTGCTTCACCGCCGGCTGAGGCGGCGTCCCATGTCGAAAACTATATAGGAGCTGATACAGCATACCACTGTGACTATCTACCTCTCTTTTACGAGCCAGGCCAACCAGGAACACTGCCCTCCCTTCGGCTCTTTGGATCTACACACCAAGGCACTTAATCATAATCAAGATGAAGCAGCCAACACTCCCGGCCCTGGCCATCGCGGCCCTGTCCCTGGGCGCAACCCTAGGTCTGGCGGCGCCGCCACAGCACGTTAGGCGCAACGAGACCGCGCCGGCCCCGGTGCGAACCCAGCCCGCCGTTACCACCGCCGTCCCTACCACGGTGCCGACGCCGGCGCAGCGGAAGCCGCTGGGCCGCCCCGGAGGCCCCGACACCGTCAGCATCATGGGCGACGAGCCCAAGATGCCGCACGACCCGGCCACCAACCCGAGCTGCACGTGGTGGTACGACAACGATGGAGGCCTGTCCTGCTTCGACATCATGGACATCTTTGGCATCACGGGCGGGCAGTTTGCCTACTGGGTAACTTGACCCTTGCTTTTGTTTCATTCTCTATCTTACCAAGTCTGCCAGCGCTAACACCAAGGCCAACCGCACCACACAGAACCCCTCGGTGTCGACGGCCTGCGACGGCATGAAAGTTGGCTCCTCCTACTGTGTCGAGGGCCCCGCGGTGCCGCCGGGATGGACCCCGCCGGCCACCACCGCCGCCGCCACCACCACCACCACCTCGGGCAGGCCGACCACCACCAAGCCCCCCGGCAACGGCGGGATCGAGACGCCCAGCCCGGTCCAGGAGGGCATGGTCGGGAACTGCAACAAGTTCTACTTTGTGCCGTCTGGTCAAAGCTGCGGCGAGGTCCTGAGTAAAAATGGCCTGACTATCGCGCAGCTTTTTGCCTGGAACTCGGCCGTAAAGTCCGACTGCACCGGCATGTGGGCCGAGGTGTACGTCTGCGTCGGCGTCGTTGGCGGATCTCCTGTTACCACCCCGGGCCCGACCACCACCAAGCCCGGCAACAGTATAACTACCCCGACGCCGACACAGCCCGGCATGGTCAACAACTGCAACAAGTTTTTCTTCGTTAACTCGGGCGAGTCATGCTCCAATGTCCTGTCAAAGAACGGCGTCACCATCGCGCAGCTCTTCGCCTGGAATTCGGGTGTCAATAGCGACTGCTCCGGCATGTGGGGCAACGTATATGTTTGTGTTGGAATCCTCGGCCAGCAGCCTCCTACTACAACAACAACAACAACAAAGCCTCCCGGAAATGGCATCGCCACCCCTACCCCGACACAGCCCGGCATGGTTAACAACTGCAACAAGTTCTTCCTCGTCAATTCGGGCGAGTCGTGCTCCAACGTCCTGTCAAAGAACGGCATCACCATCGCGCAGCTCTTCGCCTGGAATTCGGGCGTTAAAAGCGATTGCTCCGGCATGTGGGGCAACGTATACGTCTGTGTTGGAATCATCGGCCAACAGCCTCCCACAACGACGAAGCCTCCCGGGAACGGCATCGCCACCCCTACCCCGACGCAACCGGGAATGGTCAACAACTGCGACAAGTTTTACTTTGTCCCCACGGGCGAGGCCTGCTCCAGCGTGCTCTCCAAGAACGGCATCTCGCTCACCCAGTTCTCGGCCTGGAATTCCGGAGTCAAGTCTGACTGCTCAGGCATGTGGGGCAACGTGTACCAGTGCGTGTCTATCGTGGGACACGAGCCGCCCACGGGCACGAACCCGGGCAATGGGGTCTCGACGCCGACGCCGTTCCAAACGGGCATGGTGACCAACTGCAAGAAATTCCACAAGGTGGCTGAGAACCAGAACTGTGATACTATCTCGAAGCAGTATGGTATTTCGATCGCCAACTTTATCAAGTGGAACCCGGCTGCCAAGTCGGACTGCACGGGGCTGTGGAAGGATACGTACGCTTGTGTGGGACTATTGTAGTTGTGTATTGGGCACCTATAGGCAGAAAGTATGCAAGAGATAACTGAGGGAAAAAAAAGTCCAAAAAAAAAGAGACTTGAAAATAATTAAGAACCACTTATTGACTCCTTGTGGATATCCCGTCACACTCCGACTTGGCAGTTGCAATAGGCACAGAGTTATCTTGGGTGTCCGTTTCGTCCCAGCAGCCTCGGTAGTACAGGTTGCCCTGCTTCAACACGAGTTCTTGCCGAGCTCACTCTCGTCTTGCAGACCATTTCGACCCCCCTAAGAAGAGTGCATCAAAGTACGGTGGGTCGTCTACCCCGGACGAAGTTGCAGGGAGCGCCGGCTGCTTCCGTGTGCTCGAAATGAGGTTCATGCTTGGTTCTGCTGTCGCCTCCACATATCTGATCTTGTTGGCAGCGCTGCCGATTCGCCGCTGCGGGCGGTTGTGCTGAAAATGCACAGGGCAGGCAAGATCCCGCCAATCGTGCGTGGGGTTGAGCCTTGGGGGTGCGGCATTCGTAAAACCAACTACCGACAGCGTCATCCCACGGATGTACCGACTTCTGCTTACCAGCTACCTGGCTACTACCTATGTAAATACTGGTCTTGGTTGACGCTATAGTATCCAGGACATGTAATGGCGCGAATTGGAGGGAGTTAACCCCACCAAACAATGGTAATAAAAAGCCAGGACCCGGTTCCCGTTTTAGCAGGTGGTGGCCAAGCAAGCATCCCCTCACCGGCAAGGACGCGATGTAACTGGTGGGCATATCGGCAGACTGCCCAAAACAGGTCGGAGGTCAAAGCACGCCAGAACAGGCAAATGACGCTGCGAACTCGATCAACGTAGAGGTGGGCCTCTAAATTGAAAGGGGGCGGGTCGTCCCCAACTTTTATGGAAGCATCACGGGTCGACCTGCTCCGCGCGAGGAGCCCAATGCCGGGACTGAAATGCCGCCAGCGACGATAGCTGGCCCGCATATAGATAGCATACAGCTCTCCTGCAGGTGATAAAATGGCCGGCGTTCCCTGAGCCGCGGGCCAGTCGTTTGTTCCTCTCCCGGCAGTCCCCGGATCCAGCCTCGCCCAAAGACACCGAGGCAGCGACACCAGCCCACCATGCGTCCCACACTCGTCATCACGGGCGTCCTCGCCTACGTGTCGTCCGCCAGCGCCGCCGTCAACTGGACGCTGGCCAAGGCCGCCAACCCCACGGCCGACCAGCGGGATGCCTACTCGCGCATCGAGAACGCCATGCGCCTGGCCGCCGGCAGGTACAACCGCCTGAGCTCGGCGGCCAACAAGAACATCCGCGTCGCCTACGCGCCCGGCGTCCCCACGGCCGAGGCCAACTACAACGGTGAGTGAGGCGGCAGCGTCTCCTTCACCTCCAAGAAGCGTCATACTTACACGACTTGCAACCGACAAGGCGACCTGCGCTTCGGGTCCAACAGGGCCTACATGAACGAGCGCACGGCCCTGCACGAGATCTCGCACACGCTCGGCATCGGCCAGACGCGCGAGTTCGACCGCCGCTGCGCCGCCCAGGACTGGCCCCGCGCCCTGCCGCTGCTACGGTCATGGGACGGCCAGGGCGCCGTCATCAACTGCGGCGGCCAGCACATCTGGCCCTACGGCCTCAACTACGACAACGAGTGGAGCGAGACCAACGCGAACCGCCACGTCCAGCTGGTCGACGCCATGATCCGCGACGGCATGTGAACGGCGCCTTGCGGGGTGGGAGGGGTTTCTCCTGTGAATACCTAAGCTTTAATGTAAATAGTATGGCACCATCAGTACAGCCAGGTCGCCTTCAGTGTTAACAAGCGTTGCATCTTGTCAGCACAGACAAATGTCGCCCAGGATTGCCCCTCACCCCGGACACGACATTCCGGAACAGGCCCGGCGTGGCGGCATCAAGCCTGGGTGTCCGCTTACTGTGCCGTCTTCCAACCGTCCCTATAAGCTTGATGCTGCCATGGCATTTGAAAACACTGTGGAATAACCCAACCTACTGGAGCATGCCTTATAAAAAAGCATGCCGGCTTTCCGGATCCTATGGAGTTCGGAGCAGGCCCGATGTTAGCATTTACAATCGCCAGTTCGCCAGGTCCTTTCTCGATGACAATTACAGCCTCCATACCAGCTACACCGTCGGAAAGTATCACAGCCTTGCTACCTGCTGTTACTTTAGAAACCACCTTGGGCTCGAAGCCGGACATTGCACAAAGACCTGCCCCAAGATGACAAATCCTGGAAGTGATCACAGTTCTAGGTAGCGTTAATCACTCCTTCGAGCAGTGCCAACTTTCGATACGCGTTGAGGGTGGAATACAGGGTGTCACTCGGATGGCTAAAGTTGTCAACAGGGAAACTAAAACTTGTTTTCCCCCTCTTTGCCATGCCAGGAAACGTCCGTTCTTGTCCAGCTATGCTGGCCGCCCCCAAGTGACATGCGCCAGTCCTACGCTCCCCGCGATTTCTTCTTCTTTTGGCTGGCAGAAGGCTTTAACCCCCGCCACGGCGGTAGCATAGATGCAACCCAAGAGCGGGGAGGCCAGATTTGTGTGGCCTTGGCATCAGTCGATTTTCAGTATCAATTCTTGACTCCCCATAATCACCGCCAATGGTACGCAATATGTCATTTGAACCTCCTTTCACCGGTATAAAACCACCGCCTGCCATCATCTCAAAGGAACAGTTCGAGCCCTAGGCCCATCGCTCCCGGCAAGTAATCGCCATCACCAAACAGACACAGGCATCGGCCGGAACCACGTCCCGCCATCTCGCCACTATGCGCTCCTCCGTCACCGTCGCCGCCTTGGTCGGCCTCGCGGCCGCATCACCCACGGGCATCCTCAAGCGCGAGCCGGCACAGTGCCCCAACGTCGCCACCATCGGCGGCACGGACGCGGAGAACAGGTATGTCTTGCTGGACGAGCTTGACCTTGCAATCGACATGGCTGACTCTGCATCTCGGTAGCCTGTGCTGCGTCTACGGACAAAGCATCATCCACTGCTGCCGCAACAAGCCCTTTACCGACGACCCGTACTGGAGCCACGCCCTCCCGTGCGAGTCAAAGTGGTGGAGCAGCACCTCTATGTTTAGCGCCTTTTACATCTGCCAGATCGAACCGTGCCGCGCTGGATGCGCCGAGGTGCCCTATGTGTTTACCGACCCGGTCAGCTGCACCAAGTAGCGGACAACCAAGCAAAGAATGGATGGGAGGGCGCCCAACACGGGCAGTGCCGGGAAGCCATGACGGCGCATGCTACGATGATAATAAACATATTCCCTCCCAAACCAATCCACATCAGTGTCTGTGACTCGGCATCAAGCGTCCAGCGGGCGCCTGGAGCCCTTGGGCGCTTTGGCTCCCCACGAAGCCATGATGAACGTGACCATCCCGGAGGCTCCGGGCGGGGCCGGAATGGAGACGGACGGGAGCGCTTCTTGGCAGTTAAGAATATGCTGCTTTGGATGATGCGCGGGCAGTTCCCCGCTAGGCGAGAACGGGATGGGGGAGGGGGGCCGGACAGGCGCGGGCTGATGACCGAGCCGATGGCCGAGCCGATGACCGAGCAAGAGTGCCTCTGGGGGAAAAGGCGGTCACCAGGAGTGCCAGGGGCACCCCATCCGACGTCTGCTCCATCAAGCATGCACGTGGATGGCGCCATGTGCAAGATTACCACGACCGCCACTTTCAAAGTGGCATTGGATCCGCTTCCAGGCCAGTATTCGCGAGACAGGCACTGCCGGCGGGACCTGACAGCCCAGCATCAACGGGCGGGGTGACAGCCCCTCGTATAAATCGGGGCCAACTCAACCCAAAACGTTGCGCCCACCGTGCAGTCAGCACGGCTTCGGTACCTTGCGAACTCCGCCAGCGGGCGCGCCAACGAATTCCGCCGGCGCGCGCACTAACAAATCCCGCCGACGGGCACTAAAACATTTTGTACTTTCGTGACGGCCATAGCTTCGTCGACGGTCGTGTGTACGGTAGGAGCGTTGATGGCGTTGGGAATAGCTTTGATGTGACGCGTTGTGGTGCGGGCTTTGGCCAGGCGGGCAAATGTACATGTACTTGGGAAATCGGGCCCACAGATGCTGGTACTGTAGGTCGTTCAATTTGGTCCGCCTGGGTGCCAATAGCAAATACTAGGTGCCTATAATCACGAACTATAAATCAGGCCCGTCTTCCTGTGCTCGGCATCAAACCAGTCTTGCCGTTATAGCCTCGACGCCAGACCTTCTTCCTCCACCATGCGGCCCTCACAGTCCCTCGGCGGCCTCCTCGCGGCCTGCGCGGCGACGGCTGTCGCGGCCGCAACCAAGCCGAGCATCATCCTCATCATGTCGGACGACCAGGACCGGCGGCTGGGGTCCACCGACTTCCAGGCGGTCCTGCAGCGCGAGATCTTCGACAAGGGCGTCCAGTTCGTCAACCACTTCGCCACCACGGCGCAGTGCTGCCCCAGTCGGGCCTCGCTCCTCCGCGGCCAGGCGACGCACAATACGAATATCACCCATGTCGCGGGGCCAGGGTTGGTTGCCGTCGCCCGCTGTCCGAGTTTTTTTTTTTTTTTTTGCCTTCTTTGGCCCTTGACTAACAAGTGAGCAGCGGAAACTATGACAAGTGGACAATCTCGGGCCTTGACAACGACTACCTGCCCCATTGGTTGAAAAAGGCCGGCTACAGATCAGAGTGTAAGCAGTGAGCCGCCGTGGATCTTGGCTGGACTAACATTGCTGCAGATATTGGAAAGCTCTTGAACGGCTACAACGTCGTGAACGCGCACATCCGCCCCAAGGGGTTCGATCACATTGACGCTCTTTTGGACCCTTATACGACGTACTATAACGTGCCAGTCATGTCCCAGAACGGAGAGCGCCCGGTCTACTACAAGGGCTTCCACTCCACCGACGTGGTCCGAATCAAGGCGTGAGTGACCCTTACGGGTCTCTAACTCCCCAGGAAAAAAAACTCGACCGGCGCGGCCCTGACACTGCAGACCAAACCAGGCTGGACCGGCTGCAGTTCCTACTCTCGCAGGACCAGCCGTACTACCTGCAGATCGCGCCGTACTCGCCCCACATCCAGAACAACCTGAACGCTGCGGCGCCGCTAGCCCGCCACATGGACCTCTTCCCGGACGCCAAGGCGCCGCGCCTGCCCAACTACAACCCGGCCGACGAGTTCCAAGCCGGCAAGGGCAGCTGGGTCGGGGGTCTACCGCTGATGAACGAGACGACGCAGCAGAGGACCGACTACGCGTACCGCCGCCGGGCCGAGTCGCTGCAGGGCGTGGACGAGATCATCGAGGACGTCGTCGCCATGTTGGCCGCCAAGGGGACTCTGGATACTACCTACAGTGAGTTGCGTGTGTCGAGACTTATACGTCACCTGGAGTTTGAGTTTCGGCTGACCCCATCCAGTCATATACACCTCGGACAACGGCTACCATCTGGGCCAGCACCGGATCCCGGCAGGGAAAGCCCTCTTCTTCGGCGAGGACACCAACCTCCCCATGGCGGTCAGGGGCCCGGGGATACCGCAAAACGTCACGTCCAAGATCCCCAGCGTGCACCTGGACCTGGTGCCGACGTTTCTCGACATAGCGGGCCTCCCGCGCGACCAGTGGCCGACGTTCCTGGACGGGCAGAGCCTGCTGCCGCAGTGGCAATCGCCCGGCCGCGGGAACGGCGAGGGCACGGGCGACGGCAACAGCCGGGAGACGCTCAACGTCGAGTTCTGGGGCTCCTGCATCATCGAGGCGCCCAACGGGCGCGAGCTGGGCATGCCGTTCCGCACGACGTCGTACAAGACGCTCCGCATGCTGGGCGACCGCCGGTCGTGGCTGCTCTCGGTCTGGTGCACGGGCGACGTCGAGCTGTACGACACGGCCGCGGACCCGCACGAGCTGACCAACCTGGCCGGCTCGGCCGCGCACGCGCGCGTGCTGGACCGCCTCAACGCGCTGCTGCTCGTCACCAAGTCGTGCGCCGAGGGGACCTGCCGGGACCCGTGGGCCGTCTTCAGCCCCGAGGGTGGCGGCCTGCCCAAGATGACAACCATGGCGCAGGCCATGGACGGGAAATACGACGCCTTCTTCGCCGGCTTCCCGCGCGTGCGCTTCGACTCGTGCATGCAGGTCCAGGACGTCGCCAACGAGATGCCCTTCTTCCCCGAGCAGGCCGCGCTGGGGCTGGGGCTGGCGTCGCGCGGGCCGACCGACAACTACGTCTCGACGGGCGCCGGCGTCGCCATCACCGACGCGGCCCAGCACGGCGGCGAGGGGCAGCGCCACGCCACGCTCGAGCAGGTCTACGCCAACGCGCGGGAGCTGACCGACGAGGAGATTTCGAAGCCGCCGTCCGGGGCCGGTGGGGAGTAGAACGAGGCGGAGCCTGTCAAGCTGCTGGAATAGCAATGTGTGCGAGCGACGTGGTTAATTGAGCGTTCCATCTGTCCATTTGTCCCATCCTCCATGTCCTGGTCGGCACCAGGTTGCCAGTACAGCCCGTGAAGGAGAGGCTGAGCCAAGTTCTGTTGTCGCGCGCGGCCTGGGCGAAGAGGTGCTCGAACACGAGTAGGAGCAGCTTTCCTGGGAGCCGCTCTAGGCAAGCCATCCGAAGGGTGATTTCAGTGCGAGCTTGTTGGGGGAAGTGGTAGTGCATTACAAAGGGCTGGAGATGTGGATGCCCGCCGCACGGGGACTTTATACATCTGCGTGCTTCCAGCCTGGAACCTATTTAGGCAGCAATGGCTGATGGCTAGCGGCGTTTGGAAGCGCTAGGTTGTATGTTTTGGAAACAGGGTGTGGCGGTTTGCTTGCATAAAAGCCACAGGTGCAGGACGGCGCTAGTAGTTTGTTTGCTAGATATCCCTTGGAAATCGGCAGTGGCAGTGAAACAGCAGTTGAATGTGTCTAGCCTAGTTTTATAAATGCCATCAAACACAAGCAAGGTACAAATGGAAATAACGTTAAGCACGAAGCCACTCAAGTACACGCCCTACACACTCCCGAACCCAACCAGCCCAAGCCGAGCCGGTGCGTATCCCCCCTTGATGGTCCACGCGGCAAGCACGGCGACCAGCACTGGAACCAGGGCCGCCAGCGCCCGCCCGGCCAGCCCACCCTGGCCCGCGGCCTCCTGCTCGTCGGCAAACTTCCACTCGTGCGGGCGGTCGGGCGCGGGGATGAAGCGGGCGCCCGGGCTGCGGGCGCACTCGACGCTCTGCGGGCGCAGCATGACGCTCGCGGGCACGAGCGGCAGCAGGTAGAGGAGCAGGGCCTTGTGCCAGCCCTTCTGCCAGGCCAGCACGCGCGACGCGCTCTCGGACGACCCGACCAGGGGCGCGAGGCGGGGGACGCGCTCGGCCTCGGTGGCGGCGAAGGCGGCCGACACGGACGCCAGCGGCCACGGCCCGTCCTTTTGGTCTGGGCCGAGCAGGCCGCGCGCGTGCAGCTCCGAGACGAGGGCGGCGCACGAGTCGAGGCAGCCGTTGCCGCCCATGCCCGTCAAGGGGTTGAACTTGTGCGCGGCGTCGCCCAGGATGACGAGGCGGCCGTGGTGCCACCGCCGCATCAGGTAGACGGGTATCGACGTGACGCCCGAGGAGCTCTTGGCCTCGGCCACCATCTCGCCCATGGTCGCGCCGCCGTCGCTGATGATAAGGTGCCCGCCGAGCGCCGTCTGCTCAGCCTTGTCCTTTTCGGTGAAGCGGGGGAGCTTGTCCAGCTCGTACAGCTGCCGGTCCTTGGGGAGCTCCCAGTAGTTGAAGAAGAAGGCGGTCCCGTCAGGCCCGCTCATCAGGGTGGCTATGAGGCCCGGGCCGCTGGCCAGCACCGTCTCGCCAGGCACCAGCGCCCGAGGCCGCTTGCTCGCGGTGCCGAAGACGCAGCCGTACTCGACGGGGACCGGGGCGCGGTCCCGCGCCGGGATCCAGCCCTCGTCGCCGGCCTCGTCGGCGTTGCGCCACATTTCGCGGCGCACCGTGCTGTGCACCCCGTCGGCGCCCACCACGACCTGCGCCCGGATCGTGCCGCCGCCCGCGCACCGGACGAGGGCGTGGTCCGGGTGCGTCTCGACGCGCTCGACGCTCGTCTCGGTCAGGATGCGGTGCTTGTCCCGCACGCGTTCGTGCATGACGCACAGCAGCTCGTAGCGCGACGTGAAGACGGACGGGTAGCCGTGCCGCCTCTCCAGGACGTCGCCAAAGGGCCATGTGCGGACCCGCCGGCCCGAGACGCCGTCGCGCAGGACGACTCTCTCGAAGGGCATGGACCGCTCCCTCAACGCGTCCCAGCAGCCCAGCTGGTCCAGCACGCGCTCGCCGTGCGGGAGGAGTCCGATGCTGGCGCCTAAATTGGGCGTGATCGTCTTGTAGGCCTCGAGGAGCACGTAGTCGACGTCGAGCTTTTCCAGCATCAGGGCCATGGCAAGGCCCGTTATGCCGCCGCCGACGATAACAACCTGGTGCTCCTTGGTTGCCATGGTGGTTAGAGGCAGGCCTGGGGCGATTGTGGATGTTATGTCTTAGGGGGTGGTGATTAGAGAAAGTTTCAATCAGGAGGGATGCAGTGGACAAAGATGGCTGTAGCCCGGCGGACTGCATCTTTTTGTAAGAGGCGCACCACTCCCAGCCGTCGGTGCGGCGTTTCCGGCATCCCGAAGTCGATGGGCTTGTTGTCTTGCTGCCGCTCGACACCTTGGACATATCGGGCGTCGTTGCGGGGGCGGGACTTGTAAATCCCCGATCAGAGGGCCGGGACTTGTAAAAATACCCGATCAGGCCGAACATAACGTTGTCACCCGGATTTCTAATGCGGGTCCGCCCGGATGGAGCCGTCCAGGGTCGACGTGGTGCGTACCGGACGCGCGGAGCCGACTGTCCAGGTATGATAAACACACCGAAAAGGATGATTTAGGTTTTGCTGTTAATCAAACCGGAATCGGCCGTATAATGCTGCTAGCAACCACTTCTGGGCAACGCAGCAAGACCAAGACATATCTATCAACTGCAAAACCTGTTTGGCAGACGGCGAGCTGTCCCCTAGGCGATGCTGCTTTGGTTAAAAAAGCGTGGCATGGCGGTTTGCTGGTCAATATGCTCTACCCCACGACAAACGCGCAGTCACGGGGAACTGGCTGATGTCTACTTGGATGCCCCCAACGTTCCGTGCTCTGAGTTTCAAGGGCCAAGTGTACGTCACGTGCGCCAACCGGTTGTGTGACTGCTTACTGCGACGGCTAGTGGATTGTGGCGTTGCTGGTGATTGCTAAATTTGTCCTCTTGACAAACCAGCATCCATCCCTCTAGCCGCCCACGCTATTGATGTGACGATGGACCACCCGTTGGTCATTCTGCCACCGTCGAATAGCTTGCTGCTTCTTTCGTTTGTTTGGTTTCTCAGTGCAGCCGGACATCACTTCCCACCTCTGGAGCCGCACTCAGCTTGGGACAGCAGACAAGGGCTGGGTCGGCAAAGCAGGGAAGCGACCAATTTCTTCAAGACGCGACTCGTGTCTGGTGCTCGGACCCAGGGCGGACCGACAGACCCCTGAAAATTGTCAAAGGGAAAGGGGCTGGCTGTTCTGCGGGGGCAAACAGAGTGGGACGATACGATGAACTGTCGGTCGCTGTTGCCCGGCCTGGCTGTGGGCGGTCTCGCATTGTCAACAGGGGGAAGGCAGCAGCAAAACCCAAGGAGGATCGATCGCGGCTACGAATGGTGCAACAATGAGGCGTTGACAGGCGCTTAGCAGCAAACCCCGCGACGACAGCCATCGCCCCAACGGCCCAAGTCCGTGCTGACGGATCCCGGCCCCCAGCCCAGATTCAATGCCTGCTGGACGTAGCCTTGTCTTTAACTCAATCTCGCCCAGCCCTAGTCCACCATGTCGTCAACGTTGAACAAAAGGCAAGAACAGTTTAAAAGAGAACGGGCCCATGGGATGGTCTCTCTCTCACCTCGTCTCGGACAGAGCGGCCTACCTAACTTGTGGGGATAAGAGAACAAGAGAGCAGGGGAACAGCACAGGGTGGGACGACTTGTGGTGCGATCCCAAGGGTTTTGGGCGCCGGGCCTGGCAGCTGACAGCCAGCCAGCTGAGACGCCAAACGTCGGGGGGCCCACCACGGCCTGGCTAGTCCCAAGTGTCGGATCGTCGCAAAGGTGCGACGGTGACCCCAGCACGCCTCCTGTTTGGCTTGCACCAGCTGGGGCGCCGGCAAGGCGCCAAGATGGGAAACGAGCTGGAACACCATGGGATTCTCTGCCTGCCCGCCCGCTTTCCCATCTTGCCTCTTTTTAGCTTTTCATACCACCCACCCTTCTTTTCCTGCTGCGCCAATCCCTTTCTTCTCTTTCTCTCTCCCTCCTCTGCATTCGCTTCTTTTCCTTTTGCGGAAGTCTTGCTGGTCAACAGACGAACCTACCATCGCTCTTTTTCCTTTCCTCGCTTACTCTCCTTTTTGAGGCTGTACAACCTTTAATCACATCCTTCGCTTTTTTGTCGTCCATTGACTTTTTGATCGCTTCCCGACCGGTTGATCCGTATCACAACAAATCCCGAATTTTTATTCCCGTCGATTCTCAAGTCGTCTTTTCGTCGCTTCGCCGGTGCAGTAACAGGCACGAACTACAACGACACACATCCCTCGACTGCCGCAACCGCCAAGATGGGACAGAACCTGACCACGCTCGTCTGGAAGGACTCGCCCACCAAGGGCCAGATCCTGGCCGACGACGCCCGCAACGCCCGCATCTTCGGCCTCCTCTGGGCCGGCTCCGTCTACGGCATCGCCATGATCTGGTGGGCCATGGCCCTCCTCGCCCGCTGGGACCGCAACAGAGAAACGGGTGCAGGCTCGGTACTGGGCGCCTTCCTCTTAGCGACAGCATGGCCGGTAGTCATGGTCTATCTACTGTTGAATCCAGTATAGGCGGACGACGATGAGCAACGGCCGACGACAGTCAACGAAGGAACACAACATCACCTTGCAGTCAATCGACCGAGAATTCTTGTACGAAGGAGGAAGGACTTTGTTATGAAGGGGAAAGCGCACGGGACGAAACGAAGCAGTAACGGACGTGGCGCGCCCTCGAGAGGTTGGGATGGGTTCGGGGAACGTCGCCGCCGGCCCCTTTGGCCGCGAGGCCCGACAATACCCAGGGGTCGGAGCGGTCGGCCAGGACAGAGCACGGCTCGGCCGCTCGCCGCGGGAACCCCAGCCCCGCGGCGCCGGCGGCGACCATGCTGGCGTGGGACATTGTGCGTTTTTCTGTTGCAAGCAATGATACTTTTTGCATATACCCTGCGACTTTATTCCATGTTTGACATTTGGTCGCCGATCTGGATTGATTGCCGTCGCCCGTGTTTGCGTTCAGATCGTAGGCCGTGCTCGGTGCCAACTTTTTCGCGTACCCCATCGGGAAAGTCGCACATGTAAGACGCGACACCAAGGCTATTTCCAAACGGGAACACGCACAAATTGACGGTTGCCGAGCACGGGGATGGAGGACATGCAAACTGAAGTTGTAAATTTAGTAGATTGTGGATAGTTGCCACGCACGAAACAGATATATCCCACTACCAGTCGCCCGTAAATACGCCCTTCGAAGTCTCTCCGGACCAGGCACTCCGCACAGCGTCTGCCGCACCGTCCCCGTTCCCCTTCGCACCACCGAGGGCCGGCTCCAAACGAAGCGCACGAACAGGTGCTGTCCCCTTCACCTCGCCGCCCCCGCGGGTGGCCCACTCGGCCGCGCTCGCAGACAGCACGCGGCGCAGGCCGCCGAGCGTCTTGAGCGCCGCGTACAGTGTCAGGGTCGCCACGGCGGCGAGGGCGGCCAGGAGCAGCGGGAGGACAAGCCGAGGCGGGAACCGCTCGATCCACGCGGCCGGGTCGTAGCCCGTCTCGGCCCTGATCTGCTCAAACACCTCGGCCAGCTTGCCCGGCGACGGTGGCGGCGTCGACGCCGGCGACCAGGCCGCCAGCGACGAGTACAGGGCCATGGCGGAGCAGGGCGCGACGCCGCGGGCGCCGACCATGGGTATCACAGGCGTGTCGGCGCAGGCGACCGCGTCCGAGACCCAGGCGGGTTGCGTCTGGGCCTGCTGCTGCTGTTGCTGCTCGGCGTTGGCGGACAGGTAAGCGGCGAGCAGGAAAGCGGCGCCAAAGATGGCGAGGACCTGCAGCAGAAACAGCCAGGGCGCCAGGGCCTTGAGCCAGACGACGCCGAGGAGGAACAGCGCGAGGGCGCCGTGCGGGGAGCCGTTGTCGGCCGAGGCGATCCAGCGCGCGAGGCTGGCCTTTTGGGCGTCGGCCGAGACGGCAACCACCAACTTGGAGGCCAGATACACCAGCAGCGTGGGAGCCGCGACGAAGGACGCGATGCCGGCGCCGTCCCCGTTCGCGGCCGACAGGGCTGTCAGCCCCAGCGCGACCAGAATCCAGCAGCTGAGGAAGGTAACGGCGAGGAGGGTGTAGAGACCCGAGGCGGCCTTTTTGATGATGGCGACGAGCCCCATTGTGTGTTATTGGGCGGGAGATGGGCTGAGAGACGTGCTGCTGGTATAAGAATGGAAGAGAAGGAGGCTGGCTACCTATATGTGCGTGCGCGTGTCGCGAAAAGCCGCCTGCCGTCGCGCGTGGGTCGTTCGCCGGTGGTAGTCTGCTCTGTGGACCCTGACGGGCTGAATCATGCGGCTATCGCAGCCGCACAACAAAAAGCCACCGTCGCCCACGGTCTTGGGCACGCAGCCTTCCCTGAAACTGAAGATGTCGAGATGGAAGTTGACAGTGCGGTTCCTCCGTCGCCCGAGCTCGTCCTGGTGCTGCTCTGTGTGCTCGTCAGCCGAGGGAAGCGACTGTCGAACAGACCAGACCTGGAGTTTTTGTCCGTCGCCCAGCCCCACATGTCACTACCGCTGCGGCTCTCCACTGTGGCGGCGTCTGTCACAGCTGAAGTCGACGCGAGCGAGGCCTGTGCGATGCCTGCGATGGTAGCGGCGACGAGGCGGTGGAGGATCATCTTGGGTGGTGATGGAATTACGATTGAGGATGGTGATCCATTGATGCTGACAGATGCTCTCACAGTTGATGAGCAAGTACCACTGTGTATCTCTACTGTGTTAACACTGGGATCGGATTCCACATCATCGAACTCCAAGGTTGCCACCTTTTGGTTTTTTTGCAGCACCCCGGAATCGTCCGACAAGGGGTAGCGGCCAATGCAATCCAGGTCTGGGGAGCATTGCGATGCCGACGCCCTCGGGCATTCCAATCCGATGGGCAACTACCCAGGTCCCTTGAACGGCAGGGCGCTAGGCTCAACCAAGCGGCGGCCATCGTCCTCCGCTCGTCCGGGGGCAGGTGCGCCCGAGGAAATCTCGCACGGATGCGGCCTGGCCCGGCCCGTGCCCGCCGGTCGTCAGCCCGGGCCCTGGGAAGCTACACCACGCGGCGGGCTGCCAAGTGCGACGGCGCGTAGCTGCCATGGCTCTGTCGATGTACAAACCCCCACAAGGGGCGGAGCTTCTATCGGTGCGATTAAGAGGGTAATTTGTGTCCGCAAGTCTTTGCCTCCGGCGCCGTTTCAACACCATCGCGCCCCGGCACACCGGCTCCGGAGACCGTACGTTAAGTTTGTGTCCCGACGGAAACTCTCCCGATTCGTGACAAGGCCCGGAGGGGCGTCGTGCTTGGCCAGATCACATCCAGCTCAGGGTTTATCTAACAATAGTTCCAGGGACACAATGACCGAGCCCCATCGAAGTGGCTAGTCACGGCTTCGCCGTAAAAATAGCATGATACTGCAGTATGGCCGGCACCGGGGGTCACAGCTTGGACAACAGGGTGCTCCGACCGGTTCGGCGATTTTCAATCGGGTCTATTTGAAGCAGCGCTTTTCATTGGGTAAGGTCGCAGGCGCACCTCTGCCATCAGTCTCGCCTGCTGGGCATTGATGTTTCTGACACGCCTCCGCACCACAAACCCTTACCCGCCCCTGGGACCAGGATAGATCCCGGTCCTGTATGGCAGACAGCCCAGAGTGGCTCGATAGGCCGAGGACCGAGCACGGCACATGCTGCGAGATTCCTGAACCTTAAAATACCACCGCCGACACAGGCACCTCGAACGCAGGTCCACCCGCGGCCTTTTTGGTGCCGCCAAGTTCAGAGTTGGGATCACGTTGGACGGCAAAGGTGGAACAGCCAAAATCCTGGCAACAACTTGCTATCTCGTACCGACATAATTACACATGGCCGGCAGACTGGCTGGGCTCATCTATCAGTATCTTGGACGTTACATGTGCTCATTCGTAACATCTTTAAGTGCAGGGCGCAAAGACGCTCAGTTTCCTGCCGTCGGGCTCCGTGATCTTGACCTTGACGCCCGCCACCTCCTCCTCGGGCGTCTTGACCACCTCGCCCTCGCGCGGGACCGGGTCGTAGAGCCCGATCTTGTAGGGCTCCGTGGTCAGCGGCTCCAGCACGGCGGGCTCCAGCTTGCGAGTCTGCTTAAGGTGGACGCTGCCCCAGCGCAGGTACTCGGCGTAGGTTCCCGGGGCGCAATCGACGCCGTCGTTCTGCGGGTCGTCCCACGAGCTGGTGAGCGGCTCGTCCAGCACGTCCTTGAGCCCGTGGCAGAGCTTCATGACGAAGCGGTTGGCGAGCACGTCCTGCACGAAGGACTCGGCCGCCGCCGACTTCTCGAGCTCCTCCTTGCGCAGCAGGCCGCCGTCCGGGCGGCGGGTCGACAGGAGCTCGAACTGCTTGCGGCCCTTGTCGACGGCCAGGTTGTTGTAGTGCCACATCTCGGACGAGGCGGGCAGCAGCAGCATGTTCTTGGAAAAGTAGTCCGGGCCGTCCCAGCGGTCCTTGGGGTCGACGAGCTCGCGCAGGCGCTCGAGGCAGAACACCTGGACGCCGTAGTCCATTATCTTTTGCGGGTCGGCCTTGCCGTCGGGGCTGGGGTAGGGGGCCAGGTGGCGCAGCAGCGGGTGCTGCGACAGGCCGTCGCAGCGGTCGGCGGTGCCCCAGACGCGGATGACGGTGTCGTGCCAGCGGCGCACCATGCCGTTGCCGCGGTTGCAGGCCAGGAAGTTGTTGACGATGGAGAGGGGCGCGTCGGGCCCGCGCACGGCGTAGACAAAAGCCGAGAACTTGCGCGGGCTGGACACGTCAGCGATGTCCCCCCAGATGTCGTCCAGGTTGCCGAACAGGATGGTGCCGACGTCCATCCAGACGCCGCCAAAGATGTACAGCAGCGGCAGGCGGATCAGGTCGGCCGAGTGGGTGGCGGCGTATGGGCCGGCCAGGCGGCGCTCGACCAGGGCGGGCGGCAGCATGCGGGCGGGCACGAAGCGGATGGCGTTGCTGGGCGAGCCGGGGACGCCGTCGAGCACGCGGACGGTCCAGCCGGACGGGGCCAGGCGGCGGGACCAGGCGATGACGTTGCGCTTGGTCCAGGGCGGCATGGCGGCCCAGCCGGCGTGCCAGTAGCACCACACATTCTTCTGCGGCGCCTTTGGGCCCGGCACGCGGGCCGAGTCCTTGAGGAGCGAGGCTATTACCTCGGCCTCTGGGCGCTCCTCGACGACCGAGGGCATGGCCAGGGCGGTGCCCTCGGGGATGGGGAAGGCGGCGGTGTCGGGCATGGTGTGAGTGAGGGCGATGGTGGCGTGGCAGAGGCTGGGTGGAGGCGGAGGCGAGAACTGGAGAAACAACAGTAGGAAAACGGTTCGGGACAGTAGGAAAGAAGGAGATGGTGCGATTCGGCTGGAGGAGGGGAATGCGTGGTTTGGAAGTGGCGAGCGCTGGCTTTGAGGGGGACGACGGCTTTTGGCCAGCTTGACCCCAGCGTCCCAACCGTCCCAGCGCGCAGGGCAGCCAGCCCTGACAGCGGCTCTCGAGCAGCAGCCCCTGATACACTCGATGCTCTCGCTAATCCACGACAAGCTCGGGCTGCCCCACCATCCGCGCCCCCAGGGGGGCGGAGCTGAAAAGTCAATTTGTGGCCTCGGCAGACTTTGGTAGACTTTGGCCTCTTTGGACCAGTTTCGAGTCGGTTCTGGAAGTGCAGGGACCAAGAGACGGCCCCTGCGCGCTGCACTCTCGTTTCAGCCGAGTCAACAGAGTCAACAGCCCGCCGCCGTTTGGCCCGCGGACCCGCTGACGACTTACTCGCCTCCTGTTGCGGACGGACTGCACGGCCTCTCCCCACTGTTCGTCGCCTGACCGCCCGTCCCCTCGTCTTTGCACCTGCTCTGGAGCCCTACGGCCTCGCGCCGAGCCGTCAGCTCCAGCCTTGAAGTCGGCCGAGGAGCTTCTGGATCCGTAGCACTTGTTTCCCGGCGCGGGACAGCCCAAGTCACGTTGAAGTCACCAAGCAAACACGAAATACAGGTAGTTAAGATAATTAGATAAATCGACCTTGTAAAACTCCATTGCCCCATCCCATGTATCTTCCACACCAACCCCAATATGCACACTCCCCGCTCCCCCCAACAAGCCTGCTTGCGCTCCATTTCGTCTGTCCTGTGACCCAGTGTGCGCACAATCAAAAACATCTGGTCGACCCGCGCTGCAACATCTCCCGTGCGTACTGGAACTGCGGCCATCGTCTAGCGACGCGACGACTCCCTGTATCGGTCCCCCCTGTACTGCTGATCCTCCGAATATCGCTGCTCTCGGTACTGCTGGTCCTCCCGGCGACGTCGTTCTTCGCGATAGCTTGAACCCTCCGCGTGCCGCTGTTCCCGGTCCTGTTGGTCCTCCCGAAGGCGCCGCTCTTCGCGGTAGCTTGGATCCTCCACATATGTACGGCCCGGGGAGAGTTGTCGCGCTGCTTCCCCCGCCGCGGTACGCAGAGTACTGTTCAGGCGCCCGCTGACCCCGCGGCCGCTCCACTACTGGGCGCTAGCCGGGTGGAGGCTCTGGCTCTGGCTCTGGCAGCTCGGGTCGGCATAGCGCTGGACCGGCGGCGCAGGGCTACGATCATGGCGGGACGAGTGTGATGTCTTCCGCTCATGCTCATAGCCACCACGCTGGGAGCCCGAATCGCGCGCGTCTGAGCTGGGGCTGCGATCATGCCGAGGGGAGGCGGAGAGTCGCTGCTGATCGTGGTATGTCCCGCGCTGGGAGTCTGCGTAACGATCAGAGGGTGCAGGGCTTCGCTCGTACCGAGTTGATGACGGGCTGCGCCGCTGGTCGTCATATCCGCCGCGTTGGGTGTCAGTAACGAGGCGCGTCCAAGCCGCGTCCGTGGCCGTGACCGCTACCTGCTTGGGCTTGGACACCGCCGCTCCCAAGACGAGCCTCCATTTCGGAGACCGACTTCAGATCGGGTGTGCCGATCACCCAGCGGAGAAGGTTCGTCCAGTCTTCGCGCACCCGACCCCCCTTTTTCTCAAAAATGCCTTGATCAAAGTTGAAAATCTTCGACTTGCGCACATGGACGCAGCTGTTCTGATCATCGACGAATGCGTGCAAAAGACGCACATCGTGGTTGGACGCAGATATGAGCGTGATCTGAAATTGAAAGTCATGTCAGTTGAGAGAGAGACAAGGGACTGGCCATTTGTAAGGGAACTTACGGGAACTACAGGATTCGCTTTGGCCAGGTTACAAACAAAACGATGGAAGGTAAGATGGAAGATAGTTAACACCTCGCCCGCCAGGAGGTACTTCTCGTTCAACGGCAAGTTGCTCGCCATGTATGCGACGGAATGAGGATAGCGGCCATCGTCGTAGTCGAGAATCCACTCCGTACTGAACCAGGTGCCATTGATGATGTTTTCTTGGGGAGGCGACTGGAATCCGAAGTGCTTGGGACTCCAGCTGAACTTCGTTTTGCCTTCCATGATGCCGACGGTGCGGGGTGGAGGCGTCCCGGCGGTATGGTAAAACTCGTCGTACTCGGAGTTAGAGAGCCAACCCAGCATACTGCCACCCAGACACTCGGCGGCCCGGTGGCGTTCGTCAGTATCCTCTGCCGATAGCGTTGGAGGGCTGTGGAATGCACCCGAAAGCCACGGCTTCGACTCTTGCAGCCAATCTTGCATCTGGTCATGTGAAATAGGACGAATGAACAGGAACCCCAAGACGTCTTTGTCTCCAGCAGTTGGGTTAGACTCGTCAAGAAGGAGGTTCGATTCAGCCACGCGGAACCGCTCCTCGGGGAGGATGGACTTATAAAATTCCGGCGTGAGGCAGTGGTCCCAGCGTGGCTGGGTGCGCCCGAGCGGATCCGTGATGGTGATCATCTGCCGACCAAGTCCCTTCTGCATAAACCTCTTCATCACGGCGATCATCCGCTGACAAAGTTCCCTCTGCCTAAGTATGCGCGGGGGAAGTGACTGCTGCGGCGTGGAGGGCATGGCTGGCTTGGGTGGGATGGGCTCTGGGGGTGAACTGGGTTCTGGGGATGGCGGTCGCGATGATGTCGGGGTCAAAAGAGGGGGGGAATCTGCTGGTTCCTCGAATCGCACAACCATTTTGGACAGTGCTTAGGCGACTTCTTAAAGCAAACGGGTCGGATTCAAAGAGGAGCAGACAGAGGCGCGAGGTAGCGAGGCAACAAGTTAGATTAGCGCCGGCGTGATGGGCGCCGTGTTTCGGTGTGTTGGTGATGTCGTTGGAAAGAGTCCGAGGTGGGCCCATGGCCCAGCGCGACCAAAAAAAGAAACCCCCAGGCCTTTGTTTGGGCTGGCGCCTGTGCTTGGTTGGCGGGGCGATATAGTGCGAACCGGCATCTTAAATACTGTATCTCGATGTGGTTTGCAGGCAGAAGCACAGTGCTAGCTCCTGTGTTGTTGGTGAAGGGCTGCGTCTTTGTGGTCGGCTAGGCCCCATGCCAAGTGGATCAAATCAGCCAACAGCCCGGCAAGGCTAACTGCCCGCGCCCATGGCTGCCTATTGGCCCATCCACAAGTGTCCAACACCAAACGCGCGGCTGCACTCCTCCAGGCACCATTCAAGTCTTTTTCCAAAGGATCCCAAGACCAATGTCCAGGCCCACCAAGGCGTCCGCCCATGTATGTGACGCGCGCTTGGGTCCCGATTTGGGTCAGCGTGATGGGCCTACAGCGCGCGCTTCGGCACATCAGACCGCACAGATTGGTTCCAGTTTCGGACTGCACGAATCTGCCAGTCACACCTTGTGGCGCTAGCTCCATCTCTGAGGCCAGAGCGAGCCGCGCCGTGCACAGGCGACTTCACAAGTGCAAAGTTGGGCTCGGTGTCATCCACATTCATCAGCCGCTGATATAAAAAACCATGATGCCATCCCCAAACCATCCTCTCTTTTACTTAGGTCTTCAAGCGAACTTGCTCTGGTTGAGCATTCAACTTGACTTGCCAGCGTTCACCCTTCTTGCACACCTCCCAATTTTCTCTTTTTCGCAATAAGCAAACGTACCATTTTTTCCCCTTTATTGTGCTTCCTTCCTGCATTTTTTCCTGCTTCCGTTTTTATTTCCTTTTTCCTTTTTCCTTTTTCCTTTCTTTCTTTCTTTCTTTTCTTCTTTTTTCCTTTTTTCCTTTCCTGCTTCCTTTCCTGCTCTGCTGCTCTCGTTCTTTCCCTGTTCCCTTTCCTGCTCCCGTTCCCTTCTTATCATGGCCAACAACAACCACAAATTCCCGTCCACTGAGACTGCTTGGAAAAAGAACGTCGCTGAGCAGGGGCTGACAGGGGCCTCCATCCACAACATGGACCACACGAAGTCGGGCTCCAAGACTGACTGGCCGCAATTTCTCCTCTGTCGTGTGTTATACCAAGCGTACAATGCCAAGAAGTTCCAGACAGAGATGGATACGAACCCGCCAGTTATCGAAAGCCCGGACAGTTACGCAAAGGCCCGCCAACATCTCAAGCGCTACGATGCCTGGAGAGCCTACATCAACAACATATTTGAGCCCAAGCACACCACCATGAAACAGCGCCCGTTCACAAACCTCGGAATCTTCTCCCTTGTCAGGTACCACCAGCTAGCCGCTTACCAAGTCCCGCAAGTCGATTATTATAGCGACGATCCACCCAAAACAGCAATGAAGACTCGGTCACAGACGGAAGCCGCGCGTGGTAAAGCCACGAGCCACCCACCGTCCACGCCAGAACTCCCCGCTGACGACTCGGAGAGTGTCGTACTGGCTGGCTTCGCCAGCCTCGACTTAGTTGGCGGAGGTGACAAACCACACGACAGCCCAGAGGCCCGCTCGGCTATATCGGAACATTCAGGTTACACGCCGGCGGAGATCGCCTATTACAAGGCTAGCAAGGATGAGCAAATCGTCAACATGGCTTTGATTTTGTACCTCAATGCCCTCACCATTCAGTTCCCTGAGGTCAAAGGGGACTGGTCGCTGCATCGGGGTTCGTTTGTTTTCAAAAACAGGGCTGAGCCGCAAAATCCTATCCCGATTTTCGAAGCGAGGGTTGACGGCTACTTCGAAACGCACTCCCGGGAAATCGCCGCTATCGTCGAGGCGAAGTCAGCCTTACGGGAATCAACGCGTGAGAAGATCAGAATGCAGGAGGCATCTCAATTCGCAGCCTGGATCAACCAGCACCCTCCCCAGCAGTACCAGAAAGATGGGACAGCGCGGTGAGTTTCAAACTTTTTCTCATATTCCTGCTTTCAACATCGTTCCTAATTTCTTATCTTAACGGAATATCATCCTCTTTTCCCATCCTTTTCTCGGATTTACCTGTTTGCATTTATTTCTTTTATATCACGCTTTTCGTCTTCTTTTTCTGCAACTTTTTCAAAATTTACTCTTTTTCCCCTTCCTTTATTACTAGCCATAACACAACTTTCCCATTTTTGCGCTGCTAACAAGCTTTTTTTTCTTTTTTTTCTTCTAGACGGCTCATGATTTCCCAAGACCGGCACGAAATTTATGTTACCGTTGGAACTTTCACCCCAGGCTACGTGGCTTACATTACGAACTCCCCTCAAACGAAACCCCGGACGCGGAGCCAAAGCCTCGAGTTCCTCAATTTAACGGAGTACGGACCTTTTTCCACCATCAAGGACAAACATATGGAGGTACTCGGGAGAGCAATGCTTGCCTTTTGTACGGAGGCTTGTTAAGGGAAACGTTGCAAGAATGGCAGCAGTGTGCAGGTTGCCTTTGTTTGGAAAGATGAAGGGAAAGCAGTCGAACGGCAGGTATGGTAAGCTTGGTTAGAATGACATTTGGTGAACTAAGCGTTGGCGATGGTAGATTAGGTCCTGTGGACTGCGGCGAGGATGATCCTGCTGTTGGTATTAAGCACGGGAAAGAATTTGCTACTTTATTAAATCGGATGCTTTAAATATTTATTTTTATTTTTATTTTTATTTTTATTTTTTATTTTTTATTTTTTATTTTTTATTT